TAACGGCATTAAACATAGTTAAACGATTTCACTGACTACCAGGTTGGTATTGTATGAAAAACAAAGGGTTTTGTTTTCAGAGTTCCTAGGTGGAAATCAACAGTTAGCAATCTTATGTTAATGTGCTTCAGCAATTATGAATATAAAACATCTCTGTTTTATTGTATCCTCTGGGTACCGGAGGGCCTGTGTTCACTGGTAGTTCTGTGACTGCAGGTGGTATTTCTGGACGAAGTGCAGGTGGTGGTGGTGGTGGTGGTCGATTCAAGAGCTTCTTGAAATGGTCACTTCATCGTTTCTTTTGTTTCTCTTCTTTAGTAATTAAATTTCCTTCATCATCTTTTATTGGTTTCATCTGTGTTGATCTCCTCCCTCCCAGATAGTAACCTGGTTATTTGATACAATGTTGTCAGGTCTCTGTCTCTCCTACCAGCCAGCAGCCTGTTCTGCTTCACTTGCCAATGTGTCACACAAGTGTCTTTTGTCTTTCCGTGCACTCTTCACTCCTTTGTCCAGTGTAGTGTTTTATACACTGTACTCAGTTCCTCTTCTCGTCGTTCATCCTTGCACTGGTTCATCTTCTGCTTCACCATCACCACCTTCCTCTCCCTCCTCTATCAACTTCCATGTGTCCATCGAGATCCATTCTTTATCTTCTTTCTTCTTCTTCCTTCCTAATACGGTTATGCAGGTTTCTTTCCATATAGCTTTCAAAGACCTCCAGTGTTCTTCCACGCAAGTTTCCTCGGGGATGTTACCTAATGTCTCCCATTCGTTCTGATGGCTGACATGAAGATATCCTTTGTAGTTTCTTCCTTCAGTCTCTGTACTGGTAGTTTAACTTGATCTGTGGTCTGTTATCACCAACTTTGAAGGCTTTCAACTTGATTTGGAAGGTAGGTAGGTTCTTTGTACTAGATAGTGATCTGACCCTACATCTGCTCCTCTTCGTGATCTCGTCTCCAGTAGGCTGCATCTCCACTTTCTTCAAATTGAAATGAAGTCGATCTGATGTTTGGTGTGTCCATTTGGAGAAATCTATGTCGCTTTGTGAATATCCTTGTGTTTGCACACACTACCTCCAATCACCAAATCGTTGAATGCGCAGAAATCTGCAAATAGTTCTCCATTCTCGTTCATTTCACTTAGCGCTTCTCGACCCATGGTTAGTTCTCTTCCTGTGTTGTCCACTCCCAGTTTGGTATTCATCTCACCCACCCATTAGAATTTTGTGTCGCCATCTTGGGTGAGGTCTTGTCCAGTGTTGATTGCAGTTGTCTGTAGAATTCCTCCTTCTTCTCTTGATCTGCATTATTTGTAGGTGCGTAGCATTGAATGATTGTGTCTTTCCTTTCTTTTGATTTGAACCTTGCTGTTATGATCCTGGAAGAGATTGGTTCCCACTGCATGAGAGCCTTCGATGCTCTTGGGGACATCATGATAGTATCCGGTTATTTAATCAAACTGAACTTTATAATGTTGATGAATAGTGGCTAGCAGTAGAACCCACGACGAGCATTTCTTCCTTTCTGGGACTCGTTAGTTGGATGTACCTACCTCCTAGTGAGTGATATTGTTCTCGCCAGGACTCGAACTCGGCACCGATCTCTTCAAACGCATGACCGTCATCCAGTAGGCCGCCGAATCATGATAACTACTTGTTGTGCGACGGGTATAATTTAAATGGTATTGCCTTTATTGTTCGGTCATTGACTGGACAGAATTAGCCGGTCTCGACTGGTATATGGGCTCCCTGGCCGTAGACCAATAGAGGCCAATCAATTCAGTCTAACTCAGGGGGCAATATGAGCAACAACATAGAAAATGGATTCTTTTAAAATATCCTTTGTGGTATTTATCCCTTTTATTTTGCAAAGAAAAGTTTATCTGAGTGGTTTGTAGGGAGTTAACTGACTTCAAGGTAGTTTTTATCATAAAATGACATCATCTAGCAAACTACTCATAGCCATTGGAAAATAATCTTCCAATTTTATGCGATTGTTGAGATGAAGTGTCTACTTGCTGGATCCCTAAAGAAGCTAGAAATCGAAGAAAAATTCCAAACTATTTAGATTACTTACAGGTTTTCGGTAAACTACATGACCATGCATGCAGTTGTGTGGTCGGATAGGTTCACAACACTTAATGATAACAACCATCTACAATACTCTCGAAGTACCAAGTTTACTTGCAGATATATAAGTAGTATAGTTTTTCGTACATAGTTAACCTTAAGAAAAAGCCTCTGTTGCCTCACCGGTAGAAAGCGACAGAAAAATTAAGAAAACCAGGCAGTTGAATAACCTCAACGAAGGTGCATCGGTCAGATCTTCATCTTTCGATAGGTTTTAGACCACAAATATAGCTACCAGCTTCCGACACTCACCATATTTCTTCACCCGAAAGTATCAATCAACTTCTTTCACTAACACGGACTGTGACAGCATGCTGGTTGGATGGAGACTTCACTACAGCTATTGAGGTCACAACTGACCTTCTATAGGAGTGGCAATATTTGGCTGTAAAGGAAGTAATGAGCAGGTATATTATGCTAACCAAGGCTCTATACTCGAACCTACATAGCCGTGTAAGGACCTACGAAGAATTGACGTCTAAGGTAACGAAAACCATCGGTTTGCGCTACGGATGTTCACTATCATCACTCTTATTCAACTTTCTTATAGAATTGGTCAAGAACATAACAATATAGACCTCGTACTTCTCATAGCTTGACTTAGTGACCGGAGGCCAACTGGCTGGATTAAATTGCTCGCACACAACAATCCCACCAGGTAAAGACAATGAATTAATTCAGAATGCACTGAACACTTCAAGAAAAAAATTATGTTTAGTGTGCGCTCCAATCCCAATCAAATACAAAATAATACTTCAGGACTAGTCTACACTAATTTCGAGTTTAAGAATAAGTCGTTAGAGTTAAAAGATATAAAGAGGTTACAAGTATCACCAAAGGTATCTTAGTGGCATTGCTCGCATATGATGGAATCACTGTGTGATCAATACTAAGATATCAAGCAAATTACTGGTCAAGGAAGATACTTGGATACTTGTTTCATATGCCCCCTATGTAAACAGAGGATGTCAGACTAAGCAGGATCGAGTTTGAAGAAGACTAAACGTGGCCAGACTAAGATGAGGAACCAATTCATCAAACTTGAGTCATGTAGGAAAACATAAGTGGCTGAGTTTGGGGTCTTCAGATGACTGCAGTCGAAACCTGAAGGATCTTGATGATATAGCTTAAAATCAATCGTGACACTTCAGATGAATAAACATTTTTTCATCTTTGAAATTTTGAACATTTTCATTATCCTCTATTTATCTATTCATTTTTGGCTATTACATTGTAATTCTTTTTACAGTTCACATCTTGTTTCCATGCTGGTATTAAGAGTGTGGCAGCTTGAAATTCTAAGTTGGTCTCTCTATATCTCACCATCTTCTTTCTTCTCAACGAACTGTTCAACAAATGAGGTGGTCACATATGTGAACGTAAACTGTAGATAGAAACATACGTTCAATATCCTTTGGTTTGTGATGATTTATTAACTGCTATCATTTCGTGATAGTAAGAAATACATTCAAATTAGTCAACTATCTTCAAACGACTACCACGAACCTTCCTTCTGAACATTACTATCCTCAAACGCTTGAGAAATAGAAAAACTCATGTGGTTGGAAACTTCATTTTGTGAATAGGAGATTACTTACATTATGAAGCTATTTATAAACCTGTGACTCAAAACACATGGCATAAATATGCATCAGAAAAATGAGGAAATAAGTGAGTAGAAAGAAGGGTCCTGAAAAAAACATTGCATAAATCCAGTTTAGTAAACATCCATGAAAACTTATGACGGAATAGGAAAACTAAAATATCAGACAGACTGGTAAAACCATCGTAGAACCTCACACACAAGTGCATAAGTTTTTAGCTGCCACACATCACAATGGAATACAAAGAACACGTGGATAGAATAGGAGTGATATTAAAGCAGACAAAGTTGTGTAAGAGAATAACCAATTTGAAGATATTCAAGCTTTAGAAGACGTCAAAGAATGAATACGTCTAAACCATTGTGACTGATTTTCAGTTATGTCACCAAGACTCTCAATCCCTGATTCCTATCGTCTCATGAACCCAGTCAAGTAGTCTACATCGCCCAACACAGCTCAGACGAACAATCACAGACTTCATGGGCCGGTGTTACCTCTTATTTTGGTCATCAAGAACTTTCTTTCAACCTAATCTAACTTCGATTAGCATTAAAAAAATACCAGAAACATCAAGTTGAAAAGATTATTCTCATAGGTTACCCAGATACGAATTAGATAACCACGCATATATCCAAGCGGTTAACATGTATGTATCACGCTGATGAATCAGTTCAGTGCTAATTTTAGCTTTGATTACTGCATATTGTGATTAGGTTTACATTGATTGGTTTTGGCAAACTTATGTCAACAAAAGTGACTATATAGTACAATTTGGTTGTGAACTGTGTTACAAACTACCTCTTTGATGTGAAGGTTGACCAAGTCGAGAACCGGACTCAAACTCGCAACCCAGTGACTGGCAATCCATACAATAGACCAGTAAGCGATAGTTACATGTGTTTCCGTGCACCAAGAGTAACAAATTCTGTTTACGATCAACTTCAAGAAGCTATTGGCTATCATTTTGGTCATTTTATGTAATATTACTAGCCATCACTTGACAGTCTATCACATAAATATGTGCATACTGTAAAGGTGAATTATTATTATTATTATTATTATTATCATTATTATTATTATGGTTAGTAGCAGTGAGAAACAACGACTTAAAAATGAAATACATTCATTACACCTACTCAAAGAGATTCAACGTTTCAAAACAATATCCATGAAAGAGATTTTAGAAAAAAATTTTAAGCTGAGTGGAATTGGTTCCTTCTTCAAAATAAATATTTATATATCTATATATTCAAATAACTCACAGTGACAACACCTTGTTGGAATGCAGATTGAGCAAGTATACCGGGACCTTCATATAATTTCCCTGAGTCTTCAGGTCCCCAACTACCTGAGTAAATGTCTATGTAATCTTGACGAAAATGAAGTGTTTCAGCCTCAACTCTGTCAGTTATATATCCATCTAACATACGTATACCTGTTTTGTTATACAATAAGAAAAATAAAATAAAAATTTATGGATTCGAGAAAAGAAACAAACTTATATAAAAATAAAAATTATAGGTGGTTAGATTACTGCATGTACAATGTAGAGGTTAAAGGTCGCATACTAACCTAAGGTATTCAAGTCAGTCGATAAGACTATATACCTTCATCCTTTGAGATGGTTGAAAAACACGTTGCATACAGAGTTTACCCACCCACCCCCCCTCCGAAAAAAGTGACGATAAATAAAGTTGTATCATTTTGAAAGAATGTAAAAGTGAGGGGATCGAGACATGGGTTAACTCACGAATTCTCGTATAGACTTTCTCGTTAAGGTCCTTGATCCAATCTGAACTGAAGATTCTATGCTTTGCCAATCGAAATCTATCAGAGTGATATAAAGGCATTCATTTCCTTTCTATCTAAACAGTAATATAACTTACCTTAATTGTTTTTACATTCAGATCTCTTTGTCTTTTGATATCATTATTTTGAAGGTGAGATTTATCACGGACTGATATCAGTTGGAGAAACGTTGAAAAACTGGGAGCACTAAACTGCTGTTTCGTCTTAGTGTGTGACCCCTCAGTAGTGAGTACCCACGACCCCATCAGGGATCGAACCCAGGTCCTTCAGGCTCCGCAGCGAGCTAGTTGGACATTACTCATCAATTCCAGGTTCTATTCAGTTTAATGTCTATGTGGTTTTTGTCTATGTGAGTATGAAATAATTCACTGGTAATGCTGTATACAAACATTCGTCTGACAACTTATCAATGTTACTGGCCCCACTGGTTCCCATAATTACAAATAAGAATATACACGGTTTATACTACCACATCAGTCACTAAAAATAACCACTGAATTTGGGGGTTTGTGGGGATCTAGAGATTTTTATGGTTGGTATTCATAACTGACTGACATCAGGTGGAGGAACACTGGGAATATGGGAGCACTGGACAGCTGTTTTGTCCTAGTATGGGACTCTTTAGCAGTGCACACCCATGACGCTGCCCGCCAGGGATCAAACCCAAGACCTTCAGGTTCTGTGGTCAGCACGTTACCATTGAACCACTGGTTCGGAATCCAGTCCAGTTCACGACATAGCGCGACCATCACCCAATGTCATCGTTGAGTACTCGTTCTCACGGCCATCGTGTTTGTCCCAGTGGTTACGACTTCTCATTGGAACTTCAGGAATCACCTCTCGAAGCTAGTCACCAATGAGCACTAATTCAATTAGATTTGGGGGTTTGTGAGGATTTAGAGATTTTTCAAGTTGATATTCATCATGGACTAACATCAATCTATCAGTCATCTCCATCAACCTATTAACCACAGCTCAGCACTGGACAGTTATGCCTACCATAGCAACAAACGTGTCAATCAAGTATGTCTTACCACAGAATGAGTTTCCAACTGATTAACGCATAAAAACTATTTAGTTGACATCAGTTAAGAAGTAAATCAGTTTATTTATTTCAATTTCCCACTAAACTGAAATAAGTGGTACCCGTTACCATAGTTTAGACTCTCAGTAGGGATACTATGACACTTTGAGATAAAGATACGAATATCCCGAAACATGAGCCATGTTAGTCACCAACCAATAAATAAAATTAAAACTATGAGAATAAGAAGGCAAACGTATAACAATGTCTGCATGCACAAAAAGTAGACATTGGTAGTCAGTTTTACATACTTTCATATCACCAGTTAAAGATCTTTACCAAGAAGCAAGTATAGCTACTGGAAAAGATGTAAAGTCATGACGAAGTTGTCATAGTTTGAGCTGAAGAGGGACCTAGTGTCATAACAATGAATTAAAAGGACTACGTACATCAAATACTGATGACTCTGGGTGATTCATCAGGATTACAAAGTGAATAGTTCCTAAAAAGGCTACGAGATTGCATGGAAACAAAGTGATCAAAAATCCTAAAGAACTTGTTTGTAAAAAGCTTAACTCGCGGTTTAACTTATAACGATATAAAAACTTTGGGTTCATGCCTGTAATTCGTCCATGTGGGCTACAAAAGACTCATAAACTAAATATCCCCCTGAGACCCATACTGTCTACAGTAAGTTCATCTTGACTGAAACTGACTGGTTGGTTGGGGTGAAAATTGAAGAGTTGGCAAATCACAATTAAAAAGACACATTCCGATTTCCCCAAAAACCAGATGCTTTAGAAATCTCAGATAACTTCAGCATATCACATCACTTGACGTTCCCTCATTATCTAAATACATATCACAAGATGAAATCATCGTTATAATCTCGCAACAATCTGAACAACCCTCGCTTCTGAAAAGATGATACAGTTATTGCTCCTCTATACTAAGAGCGTTGGGTCCCGCCTTAATCATCAAGTGTACTAATAAACTGATAGACCAGTCATGGAATCACCATTGGGACCTATTCTAGCTGATATCTTAATGGTTCGTCTCGAATAAACAACTCTGAATTCTGAGATCAAAGAAGTAACATATTACCTCACGTACGTTTATGATACCTTCATTCCTAATGATAATATAAGTTATGCATCAAATATGTTTGATACATTCAACCAGGTCCATCCTAACCTGAATTTCACAATGGAATACAAAAGTGAAGACAGACTGAATTTCATGAACCTCATTGCAAAACGTAGAAGTGATGATGCAGTTGAGAAAACTATCCATATGAAAGATATGTAGACTAGTCAATTCCGACAATAAGTGAGGTTTAGCCAAACTTCTATTCACCGGAATAAGAACATTATATCCAAGATCAAGCTGGAGGAAAAATCCACAATTATTGAGGAGATTCTCAAAGAAAATTGATATTCTAAGGAATTAATTACAAAGTAAGAGAAAGAATACATTGAAGTACAAAAATGTACAACTATTGCAATGCAGCCTGTTTTCAGTTGGCTGGCAATTAAATCTGAGGTCTTTGAAAAAGGCGCAAAGAAAGATTTTAAAAAAGCACTGAAAAGGAGCTTCCCAACAGCTAGAGTCCAACTACCGGGTACACAATGGTAACCGAACACCAAATACAAATATATCTCAATCTTCCATAATAATCAACAAAGAACACCATGCTTACTGCACTTCACCAAAGCCCTGCAATGGACAGAAGGAAATAGTAACCAACCTTTATTTATCTTAGTAGTTATATTCAATTGTTATTGCATAATCCCCATGTAACATTTTATTTTATAGGTGATATTTTCATCACTGTTATTGTAACATATCTCAACTATCCATGTACTTGGTAATTCATGTGTTCATAACTCCTTTCACTTAAAATGATGTCTGTTACTCACTTTATTTACTTCTTACAAATTTTGGATTTCACTTTTAAATTAATGATGGATAGTGGCTAGCAGTGGAATCCACGACGAGTGTTTTGTCCTATTTAGGACTCGTCAGTTGGATGTACCTGCCTTTCAGTGAGTGATGTTATTCCCACTGGTACTCGAACTCAGGACCAATCACCAGAGCGTTATCCACTCTAGACCACCAAGTCATGATAGCTACTTCTCGTGCAATAAGTATAGTTTTAATGGTGTTGCTTGTATTATCCCGTCCTTGAGCGGACTAAATTGATTGGTCTGTATTGATATTCGCACAGGAGCCTATATGCTAATAGAAGCCGATAGATCCGGTCCACTCAACAATGGGATAATACAAGCAATATCACTTTTAAATTGACATTGATTCTGACTTAGTTTAGTGACAACCACTTTCTATATTTCTTCGACTCGCTGCCCTACTATTGTCCCTGGATCTTGAACGGTATCTCTCCTCAAATATATAAAACAAGTTGTGCAGTTATTGCTTATAACAATTCAGTTGACTTTTAGGCTATATTGCAGCTAAAGAAAAGCCGAGGAATAACGTAAGCTCAATGTATTTTGTAAAAATATCTGTTCTCGCTTTATTCAAAAAGTCAATCGATTTGGCTCAGAAAAGTGAACAATTGGAGACACTGAACGTGTCGGTGACATATTACCTACACAACTATTCATCATAAAATAGAGTACATCATCATTTTACTGCAGTTACTACTGCCTTTCAGTGCAGAAGAGAGCCGGGCGAACGATATAGTTCAGCTAATATTAAGGATAAGGTAGTATGAGCTTTGTCTTAGTCAGTTAGCAACAACACGAGACTTGGCATCACTGCATAACCGTTCAAGTTGCCAAACTTCAAATCAGCACACAGAGGTAGGAGAAACCAACATGATAGATAAAGAAATAAGGAAGAAAGTAAGCAAAAGTGGTAAAACATCGTAGAACGAGAGGAATATGGGGTTAAACAGCAACGACATTCGATATAACGATTAAGATGAAGATAGTGTGTGGATCCATTTACTCCATTCACCATGATCGGTTCAGAGGTATATCGTCCACGGCCTTCAACCCCCAATTTCGTTTGTCACACTGAATTCAACTGGGAAATTTACGTTTCCTTGCTCGGCTCAGATTAACAGTCAAAAACTTTATAGAGTTTGACCCCAAACTTTAATCTGAACATCTTTAATCTTCTTCGGCTCAAACCTACTTCAGCTGAAAGTGTCCAACAGGGCGAATGATGACTAGGTACGCGTAATAGGCCATATAAGTCCATATACGTTCACAACACCCATCTAAAATTCTGCGTCTGACTTCTGCATCACTGACATGGTGGTACCACGATATACGTCCTATGTTACGAAGACAATGGTATCCGAACACTTGAAGCCATCTAATATCCTCTACCTTTAATGGCCATATATCAAAGCCATATAGTAGAAAAAAGCGAAATGAAGAGCAGTACACCCGACCCTTTGTGGGCAATCGAATATCATAGCGGCACCGAAAACTGAATAATTTGGCGAAAGTCAATTGAACCTTTTGTGTCTGTACCAAGATTTTATCGACCATTGACCCACCAAGGCTTATCTGACTTCCTGGGTCAGTGAAGTGGTTGACGCGCCCAATCAATTATTTTCCTACCGTTAGACG